AATATATATTTTTAAATAAACTTAGATTTAAACCTACTAAATTGTAATAAAATCTAATCTGACATAATTTATTTTCATCTTTAATTATAATCGTAGATATAAAAACTTGTAAAAAATAATTATGATATATATTTATGTCTTTAAAAATTATATATAAAATTTTTAATACTACAAATATATAAATAAATATTGCCCCCACTATATAAAATTTATGGATCCGTCACTGTATGTATGTATATATATATATGAGAACACTTCATACAATGGACAAGTGAGTTTGACATTATCGTATGACATAAAATCTTAAGACATTAAATAAATGGTCTTTCTCATTTATATACTAGTCAATATGTCTAATTATAATCGATGTTAGATTTTATTTCACACTTGAACTCCAAAAGTAAGGGGCAATGGATTTGTTGGAAAAATTCATCATTTTGTCTCTTTATACCTCTATTTATCGCTCTCTAAAAAAAAAAAAAGAACGAGTATAACATTGTTCTTTGTATTTTCTTGAAAGTGTTGAGACATGTTACATGAAACGGCTTCATCATTTTTGCCTGAGCTAAAAAAATTCTGGTATATATAGCTCTATGTGATGAACCTGAAGTTTATAAAAAACTGATTTGAAAAAAAAAAACTCAAACACACAATATTTAATCGATCAACTTAAAAAGTAAGAAATCCTTTACACCAAAATTTAAAACCAAACAAGAAACAACTCGAACTCACAAAATTGAATCGCACAAAATCAAAATTCAACAAAAGAAAGGAGACACAGAGATAGAAGACTGAAAATCAATTATCACAATCACAACTTAAATAGGAACAAACATATATATAACACAAATTCAACCATAATTGTTGAACAGAGATGTAGAATCATGACAAACAAAAATCCTGGATTGAGCATCTACAATATAAGCAACTCCCTACCACTTTAAATAAGTCCTACTGTATTACGTCATTCATAAGCAACTCATATTATATTTTTATAATTTTTGCTTCAATGAAAATTGTTTATAAGCACTCATACTTTTTTACAACTCCTATTACATTTTTTGACACCTCACACTACGCTTTTTCCAAATTCTCTGTTCATGTTTTACCTTGGATCAAATCAATCAATCACACCTCTCCATTTCAATTTTCAGATTGCTAAGCACTTTTGCTTAGAGAAGCAACAAAGATAAAAAATTTAGAACTTGACTTATTACGTAGGATGACTCCAATAAAAATTTCTTATAAACACTGTTTTTTATTTTTAAGATACATAACAAGCACCCATTAAAGGTGCTCTTAAAGAATAAATTCAGTGTACTGTGAAAAGAGTAAAACTAATTTTTACTTTCTCCTCTTAAAAATACGTTATTGAATTATAACATTAAGATATTTCATATTAGACTTGTGAACAAGTCATCGTGAAGTTTATAATTGTGAATTAACTACCAGTCATTATGGGTAATAAATAGTGAGATTTTTTTCACTATAACTTTTTTTTTTTTTTGAGGGGATTCACTATAACTTATTAGCTACAAAATTATTAGTTTAAAATTAAAGTACCCACAATTACATTATTGTCGTGGTAAGATTGACACTAAAAAATTATTTTGCGGTAGTGCTCAGTTAAATCAAAAGTGTCATGTTTCATCGATATGAACGTGTGGGAGGTAGGAAATGCACCGGTGTAAACCTAACCTTAAATAAAAAAAGTTTCTTATTAGATGGTTTTATACTTTTATTGTTTTATTTTATTTTATTTTATAGATATGCAGGTTTTACTGTGTTTCAAATATAAATATGATTGTATTTTATTAATAGGTTTAAATATATTTTTAGTTTATTAAATTTAAAATAAATTTATTTTTTTTCAAATTTAAATTTATTATTTTTTAGTCTCTATATTTTTTAAAAATCTTATTTTAGTCTCTCATGTCACTAATAACATCTGAAAGTGATAAATTAAGACAGTTTTACAATATTAGCTGAGTTTAATGTAATATTTTCATTAATAAGGACATCAAGGTAGATTTTATATAACAATATTTGATAAATTTTTTAACAAAATTTGAATATAAGGACTAAAACAAGATTTTCAGGAACTAAAAAAATCAGTTTTAAATTTGAGGGACTAAAAATAAATTTATTTTAAATATGCTAGACTAAAAATATTTAAGTCTTATTAATTACTATTAATGTAAATTATATAAGTGTACAAATGTTTTGCAAATAATTTGAAACAAATATTGTAGTGTTTAACTTTTTAATGCATTGACGGTAAATAACACTGCAACAATTAAAAAAATACTTTTATTTTTTGTTGAATTCTAATATTTTCTGCTAAATATTTAATTTAAAAATATAGTTACTTTAAGATAATTATGTAACAACGTAAATATTAATTTAAATCTCAAAAAACAGGTGCTGTTTAGAAAAGCTTTTGTAAGGAAAACAAAATATATAAACCATATGAAACTGCATTCACCAGCGTCATATAATAATTAACTAAAGTGGATTCTCATAGACATGTATTAGGGAA